TCTGGCACCTAAAAGGTGGCTTCAGGGTTTTCTTCTAACTTAACTGGTTTCTCCCTTTGTTTCTTCAGAAGTTCAGGTGCTTTTCCCAGTGAATCCAGCCTTTCCTCTCTCATTTCTTGAACTGTGACTTTTTTTCTTTCTTGCTTGCTTTATATAGTGCTCACAGCTCTAATGTCTGACCTTTTCCAGTTCCTAATGTGTCTGTCATCATGATACCTTGCAGAATGTACTCTTCACAGATGTATGTGGGTCCAGCAGAACTAAATACTTGTTAAATGAAAGTGATGAGGGTAGACTGGAAGAGCTGGCAATTAAACCTGCCTTTCAAGTAAAGATACAAAGTGTATCTCCTTCTCTGGTTGCTAATTTGGGTATCCTTGATTTTGCCCTCCAGAGTTTTGGCTCTAAACTGTTCCACAGCTACTACTGGGAATAAGCAGATGACCTTTGAAGGTAGGAAAACTGTTTTAACTACATGTTTGCTGTTTGATATTTTGTGTTGCTCCCCATCTCTGTGCTAGTATGCATACATATGATATGGTGATGTGTGCAAACAAGTCAGCAAGTAGCAAACCACTGGGCTCACTGCTGACTAAAAACCTGGTAAACTTCAGAAAGGGTGAGGGATTATTTCAGTTTCTAGTCCAGATAGACTTTGATGTGTCCCTGAGGAAAGGGCTACCGATAGCAAGGGGAAGCTACTCACCCCTTCTGATGCGGTGAGGAAGCTCTTTTTACGACCACTCCCAAACCTGAGCCAGTCAAAAGAGCGGGATCAGCACAAGCAGTTTAAATAGCAGGCGTTGGCTAGCCCAGCCTTGAGTGCGGTTCCAAAATGGTTTAAGCTGATCCAAACCAGAGCTGTTGCAGCCTGGCTTTGCATCACGTATATCCCCACCCCATCTCTTGCACCAGCGCTGGTGCTTGTTTGACTCCACAAGAAGCTGAACTGTCAGGGAAGTGTTAGATTTTTTCAAGTTGGTTCTGTCTTTTCTGAACCAGTTCAGTGTGGGACCAGACAAGCATTCTTGCCGGCACAGGAAAAGGCAGCATCTGGGGTTGGAAGGACTGCAACAGCCCCAACTTAGATCGGATTAGACTGTCATGGAACCACAGTCTCATTTGGAGAATAGCACATGAACATCTCTGGGAGATTTGAGGGGACAGTACCCCTAGGCGGGAGGAGGGGCTTTGTGATAGTAATCTCTCCCTGCAGTGCAGCTGACCCAGAGAATATTTGTCTACCATCTAAAATATAGAAGAACTCTTCAAACACATTTAAAAGACCTAAAAGTTTCCTGTCTGTGTTCTGTAAAACAAGTGAATTCAACATAGGCTTACATGATGCTCCTTTTGCTGCCATCCCTCCCCCTGGCAGCCCGCCCCATATCCTTTTTGCAAGCCAGAAGGTATCCTCCTGCCCTGGCCCTCTTTGGTCATGTCATGATGGGCACCCTGCCAAATGAAGCTGATCTTATAAGCTGCTAGTGCCCTGGTTGTTGATAGGACTGTTTGAATGATTTTTAATTCACTTCTGTGGTGTCCTCATTTTTATTTTTTTCTCCTGCCCGAGCTTGAAGTGAGAGTGTGTTTAGCTGTGAACTACACTGCTGCAAATTCATGGTCTATTAGCACCTTTTCAAAGCTCCCCTCTCTGTTCTCTGAAGAATTAGAACACAGCTATTAAAAAAAAAATAATTAAAAAGCACTGAAGGCTATTGCACTGTGTCACTGTTTCAGGCTTTATTTTTAACATTATTGCTAAGATAGGTTGGTTTGCGTGTTTGCTTGCTTGCTTTCCCCATACTGTGTTTAGATTTGAAAACAACATCATCAGTAAGATCCTGATGAACCTAAGGTAGATGTGACAGCATAATGTGGATAATACATATACAATTTGTCAAAGCAGATGAAATAACCCCACCTTGGGCGATTTTCAAAAGAAGTACACTACAGTACTTGTCAGGTCTGGGTGACTACTCCATAAATATATTACCTGCTGGCATACAAGTATCACTTTGTATAAGGCAGTTACACAGTAAAGGAAAAGGGAGAGGCAGGGCAAAACCACTGATCTTGCCGGGTCCGACAAAAAAAGCCATGATCTCAGATAGAAAAATGCTAAAATAAAAATCATCATGGTTTGGGGATAACTGCATTTATGTGTAAACTATCTGCACATTTGATTGGTATTTTTATTCTGACAAAATACGTGATGTAATTTTTATTGGTGTATTTTTGAGTCAATATCTACTGTCATCAGTAGGGATACAAAATTAGGATAGAAATAGACTCTTTTCTTTAACAAATTAGTAAAAATTTCAGAATTACTGCCACAGTTAGGATACACACTTTGGAAGGAATATCCTGCAGCATGAAATGACTAAGACCTTCAGAATCAAAATCTAAAGCCTGAATTACCACAGATATAATTTTTATGTTAAATATTTATATTAGACTTCTTTTTTTCAAGATCTATTGTGGATATGCTCATTTACCTTTCATTGAAACAACTGATGAGAGAATGATAGAGAGCAGGTGAATTGTGCTAAGATGTCACAATGCTTACCTATTTATGTATGTATATTTTTCTTTCCTAGGATGTGAAAAAGAAAACAATGGCTTTCATAATATCCTCTTTCACAACACTCACTCTGACAGTTTTCAATGCAACTTCAGTGTGTTTGTAATACCAGGTGCACACATTTGCACATATATTTATATAGGGAGCTATGAAAATCATATCTTAGAAATTAAAGGGGGCAGATGGATCAAAATTACTAAAATCATAGCCAAAGCATGCAGTAAACTGTAAACTACAGCTTAATTACCTCTGAGATGTTAAGTGGTTTTCTTTCTTTGCTATTTCACTGGTCTTTCTTTGCTATTTCACTGGTAGTTCCCAGGCACATGGGTGTGCTTAGATCATGAGTCCACCACCTCTATCATTTGTACTGTAGGAGTCTGATTTTTTGACTACAGAAAGCAGAATCATCTACTGAAGTGTGGGAACACTTTATGTTGCTCTAGGTTTTGTATTGTTAATTCTACAAATACGTTGATTTAACTCGATTGAGGCCTCCTGGAAAAGGAGACATCCCCATCCGTATGGTCAACCCTCTCAAAGAAGAGGCGTAAGAAAGGATGACTTAAAGCATTCATTTGTCACCTGAGAGTTGTTAACTCAATGGCAGCGTGCTGAGCCATGAGCACCTTGAATCTGTCTCCTGCTGAGCCTTTGGGACTCCCTTAGCCAGAGGGATAAAAGCCCAGGAACCCAAAACAGTTCAATTGGCAGGACTGGAAATGTTCCCTTTCACAACACGAAGAAATAAAGAGTATGTTCTCACTTCCTTGGGCAGCATCTTCCAGCACTGAGTAACCTTTTCCAGTGCCTCACCACCCTCTCAAGTAAAGGCACTTACTCTAAAGACCTTAGTATTTGGCTTGAGCGTTTTGGTGGGAAATCATTCTGTTAGAAAATTTATATCGGTGCTTATGGTTACAGAATCCAGAAACAAGACTGTAGGCTGACCAGTCAAGATTGCTTTGTAGGACAAGAATTGCTAATCCACTAGACCTCTCTGTATGTTTTTGATGAGTAAAAGTTGAGAGTTGGATGGTAAACGAACATGTCATGCAGCAATTCTAACCAAACTACTTTTAATAAATAAAATAACATTCAAGTATATTCCTGAAGACTTTCCTTCTCCCTATTTTCATGATTATATCTGCTTCTGAAAAGATGTATACCTTTTTCCCTGCTTCTAATCTATTTGTGATGCCTATCACTTTTGATCAGGCTTACAAATAAGCTGCTTTTCTTTTTTTTTCCTTAATAGTTTATGTTTGGAAAGTCAAGTCGTGGTTTCAGGGAAAGGTGCAGAGGCTCATGTTACAAAGCATCTCCTTTTTGATGAGCAGTGTTAGCAGGCCTTTTTGCTAACCAGTTCAAACAGACTACAGGAATTCTCCAGTGTGTTCCCATCTTCCCACATTATGGTCTCTGCTTTCTTTCTTTACTGTCAATGCATCTAGGAATTTCTAACAGGTCAATAATCCCTGAAAGATCAAAATGAGGATTCACTGCTATAAAACACTGGCATTTCTATGTAATATGAAAGCAAATGTGATTCTTTCAAAACAAGGTAACTTCCAGTTTCCCAAGAAGAGTTCATCCACCTCCATCACAATGTGGCAATATGCCATTAAAACAAAGAGGTGTGGTTGATATCCCCAGAAGATATTTACACTGACAGAGACAAGTGACATGACTGAAAAAAAGTCAGGGTCCCTCAGTTTAGGATCTGCAAGCTGTTGTTGGCCATAAATACAATGTTTATTCCAGGAGGGTACAGGGAAAATCTGCCACGCAGATTTCCACTGTAGAGACTTCCTATACAATGGCCAAAAGACATTTCAGAGAACTCTGTAGAAAGCTTAGAATCAATAGCATAATCATAATGTGTTACAGGAAGGCAACAGGGAAGGTTGGGGCCTAAGTTTCATCACTATCCAAAGTTCAGTAAAATTCTCCAGATGGTCTTATACAGCAGACAGCTCTGTGCCACAGAGAAAGGAAAAATGGCCTGTGTTAGTCTAAAGTGAAGGGCAGCTCGTTGGTGATCCCAAGTATGTCAGTGTTCTTTTAGGCCAAGTTCCTTTCTTTTTCGTGCCTGCATCTTCGCTGACCTGAACAACATTGCACCCCTTCTTTGAGGGGGTTAGTGGAAAGGGTATTTTTCTGGAAAAAGTTCATTTGTGGTAAGTTTTGCGGATGCCAATGCCTATGTGACAATGGCAGTACATGCAATAATAACCATTTTGGAAAATGAGGAGGTAGATACCAGAGAAAGATGCAGACAAGTAGAGTTTCTTGTTCTAAAAGACAAAAGTTTTATACACAGGGAGTAAATAAATGACTGGGAGCAAAGCCTAAACACAAAGCCACTCTTGTCACATTAAATTAAGTTGATTTTTATTTTACATCTTAAATCTAGCTATTGGTGGGATCCATAAAGTATGCAGACATGATCTGGAATGTTGATCAAGTCTAAGGATAAAGCGACAAAGAAAATGGCCACCAGTTGAAATGCCATAATTCAAATAATCATGAATGAAATACCCCCCGTCTAAGACTTTCTGCCATGGTGAGTAGCAGTTGTTTGTGCTTTGCTATTTGAAATATTTGTTTGGATTAACAATAGATAATTATGGTCACATTGTTATAGTCACGATTTACCAGCATTCTGTTGGTATCAAGCGCAAGGTGATTTGATTAGTCTTGAACAAAAATGCTTTGGAAAATTGGGATGCTTTTTAGGCTTCTAAGATACTATTTCTTTTTAATGAATGACAACAGCATTTCTAACAGAAGTTTGCTTCCAGAAGGCATCAACGCTTGCATGACCTTATTGACAAATACAAAGATTCTGTTAATTCTCAGTGCCAGTGCCTTCAATGCATTTTTCTTGGGGGTAGAAAAAAAACAATCCAGGATGAAATTAATTTGCCTCCTTAAGAATAAAATAGCTCAATCAATGGCCTGCCTAACATAATCCTATATTTGCAGTCCCCTGACAGTTGGGCTATGAATTTACTAAGAACCAGGAAGTGATTGGCTTGTAAGTCTTCATAAAATAATAAAGCCTGGCATTGTGCTAATGATAGTTTAAAATTCTTCATGGCTAAGCTTGGGACATACCTAAATGAGAAGGCTAACTGACACAGCTGTTGTGGGACAAACTACTTTACAAAACAGTCTCCTATATGGATGCTTTATTTGAGAATAAAAGTTATTTTTAAGTCCTATAACATTACTCAGTTTTTTTGAACTGATTAGTGATTCCAGAGTAAATGCATTTTCAAAGAAACTACAGAAGCCTGTATAGTGAAGAACTTGGTAATGGCAGTTAGAGAGCAGATTATATCCTGTGAGGAAGCTTAACCAGAGTTCAGGCTAGCTTTAATGTAAATCAGGTTAAAAATGGAAACCAAAACCAACTCATGAACAACTGTAGTAAAAAGTTGTCTTTATTTTGCATGATTTTTTGCAAGATAATTCCTTGTATACTTCCCATTATTGTTGAATTGGAGCTTCCTATGTGCATCAAAGGAAGCATATCCCTTTAAATGCTTGCTATTTATTTGCACTCAGAAGTCCAGTTGACTGCTTTGGTGGTAGTTTCCTGTGCTGATCAATGAGACTAACAAGTTAATAAATAATTCACTTAGGAAAACTGCATTAAGATAATGCTACAGGTTTGAAAAAAGTCCTGTATAGGAAAGATTTCTCACATTCCTAACTACTTGGAATCACTTTTAACATGGTGAAAGTTGATGGAGCTCATGAAATATTGCTGCATTACCTTCAACAGAAGTTACATACATACTTCTTGTCTTAACTTCCCAGTGAGACGAGTAGATGTTATAGTTGGAATATCACATGGTAGATTTTTTTGTTCTTTTTTATTTTCACAGTTGGAAAATTGAGATTGGACATGATCTGTAATAGTCATCTTTGTCTAAATCACCTGTTGGAGCAGGGTGACCTAGAGTAGGTTGCCCAGGACTGTCTCCAGATGGGTTTTAATCTTCTTTAGCCTGAAGACAGATATAAATAACTGGCACTGACCTTCTGGCTATAAAACTTTAACATATCAGTCTTTGAAGCTTATGCTCTCATTTTATCAGAAGATTATCTGAGCATTGCACAGATTTCTGGAGCATGCTCTTTCATAACACTCTTTTGTTCTCCCACGTTTTGGTTCTTACAGGTTTTGGGAAAAGGGTCCATGCTGTCACATCTGAGTACAGCTTTCAGGCCTTCATTTACATTGTTAACAATTTCACATTTTTCTAGCTGATTGTCTCTCCATTCACAGACTCCAGAAGGAAATTAAGCGGGGGGTTAACCTGGATGTGTTTTACTTCTTAGCCATAATATCCTTGGGGATTAATTTAAGTACCAAAGTGCCAAATTTAGTTGTGTGTTTTTCATGTATTTCTTTTAGTATGCTAGGACCTTTGGAAAGCCAAACAGTTTTCTGAAAACCAAACACATCTAAAGAGTAAGCCATCATTTGTGAGTATGATCTTAACTAAGACTTTCCAGCTTTCCAGTTACAAGTTTTATGCCTGAAAGCTGTATGCAGGCTGTTAAGAATATACCCCTTTATAGCCTGATAAATATGTATATATACATAATTTATTTAAGCTCTCTAGAGATAGAGAAAAAGATGAAATCCTGATAACCTATCTAGGAGACTTAACTGTGCTGGTTCACTTAAACCACTCTAGTCTGGGACAATCATCTAAATGATGTGTAAATAACTGTCATCTCAGGACCTTTAGCAAGGCTTAGTGCTTTTTATTTGACTTACTAGAAGCTTTTAATGACTAGTATGAAGTCACAGAACAGAGCTACAGATATATAGTTACACATTCAAAAGACTCTATCAGCAGCCTTTTTAGCTGTGAATTTACAATTTGAGAATTTCCAAGAGAGTATATTTTCTGAGACAAATTTAATTGCCTAAGGATAATTTTATTTTTTTTTCTTTAATGTGATTTGTCGTGGTAGAACCTAGACATTTTCCATGCGGGTTTACTCTGTGCTTTCTGTGGCCTGCAAGGAATTAGTTTTAATTAATATGAGGGGCAAATGCATTGTTGAAATAGTCGTTGTGGCAGACATGCCTTTGTGTTAGTAGTTGGGTTAAACAGCCCCTTTATCAGAGCTATTAGCACCTAATATCACTGTCTGATTAAAGATCATTCAGTGGATTATCCAGTCCCAATGCTTCCACAGACCCCCAGACAGGTGCTCAAATAAGAAATTATGTAAAGTAAATGAGCACTAGTATGACCTTGCTGTGGCTTTGTCTTGGCTGCAGAAAAGGAAAAAGTTATTGGGCTGTTTGGTTAATTTAATTTTTTTTTTTTTTTTTTATCCCTTGTAAATAGCAGGTTAACTTGTACAGTCCCTGTAGATTTACATTGCAAAGAAAGCAAGATCATCACTAAGGCCTTTGTCCTATAGTTGACCTGACCTTCCTGTCTCATCAGAGTCCTCTGTCTTTCCTCCACCCAGGCTGCTTAGGAGGATAGGTGTGCTTTTACACTAAAGCCACAATATTTTTAGGTTTGTTTTGGTTTTCTGTTTTGTTTTTGATGATGGAAGCAGCATGTAATATGGACAGTCTATTCTATGTCTCTAGAAGTGCATTTTATTTTAAATTCATGCATTTAGACTGGGCTTGTAGGTAAACTGGAAATGGGTAACTTAAGAAGGCAGGAAATCCCACAAGAGTTCACAGAGCATAGCTTAGCTGACAGTTCACTTTTTAATGGGTGAAATGAAGCCTTGACATTAATGAGCACAGGCCCCCTGACTTCAGTGGAATTTTGCATCCTTATACTAGTCAGATTTCTGGCTCAATTGTGTCGGATGGCAATTTATAGTACCTTTCATGTCCCCCTGAAAAGCTATGTGTCCTGTGTAGCCTGGGGACTGTTTCTGACAACAAGGCTGCAGAGCAGAAAATAGTGGGCTGATGACAGACAAGACCCCAAAGTTTTTGTGTGCCTTGAAACAAGAGCAGTGTGTCTTGTCCCTGTTGATTTCACTTAACTTTGAAAGGGCCAGAGTATAATATAAGTAGCTGGAACAAGAATTAGCCCATAGGTAGGGCTAGCATTACCCTAAGAACTATCTGAACAGTGCTTATTGTAGGATAAAGAATTTTCTTGGGCAACTATGAAAGAAACACAGTAAAATAAGCACTGTTTATTATTGAAGTTTTTGTTTACTGCTGTCTTTGGAGAGGGTGTCAAAAGGACACACTGGTGTCAATGTTCTTGGATGTGTGCTACCTCATGTTGCTTAAAAACATGCAAAAAAAAAGATATGTCAGACTGTCTGGTTAGATAGAGGTGAGTGTCTAAGATGCCTAGGGACTCTGACAAAAGCAAGCTGACCTAGCTTGAAGCCTCTAGTTCATTGCTGCTCTAAACAGACCACTTCTTAGGTTATGAAGGGGTGATATGTAAAGGGAGCTTTAGAGATGCAGCACAATATTATGAGACAAACCCATTCTCCCCCCACCACCAAACCCCTGAAGCATCACACTCTGTAAAAGATGCATTAAATTTATCAATAGACCTTTCTTTACTCAACTGTGCTGCAATTCCTTTTGGGAAAAATTGGATTTTCATCAAAGACACGAAGACTATAAAATTGGAAGCAGATGTGAGGTTGGGTTGGATAGCTCTATGGCTGTTTCTTTTGTGGAGGCACTTCTGAACAAACCCAGCCTTATGCGTTCCTTGCTGTCGTGCCCCATGTAACACTCTTGCCTGCTTTTTTACATTTTCCAGAGAACCAGGAGGTGCAGGGTGACTAACTGATCTAAATGTGAACGTCTTCCTTATCATCTATCTCTTGATTTTCCAACTGTTCTGTGTTCTTTGGAAGATATGTTTAAACAATAACCTCAGTATTTTTGCATTATTAACAAAATACAAAAAAAAATACAGGCAGTGCTTTGCATGTGGAAGGTGAATTTAGTCTGGTAGCTAGCACTTTTGCTCCTTTTTTAGTTTATAGCTTTCCCATATACGATACCTCAGGTATCATGTATGTTTTATTTTGTTGGAAACAAGCGTAGATCTCATTTATTTAGAGAAAGCTCTGTCTTCTGGTATATTGATGGTGTTATTAATGTAATTGATGAACTGGGATGAGGAGTACAATTTTAAAGATTATTAATTTTTTGGGGGTGCATTTTTCAGTATGTTTGGTGCCACATGAAATGTGCTGCAATGAAAAGAGAAGCTAAGCAACAGAATTTATGATGTTGTTTATCTGTTGATGATGTTTCCTCAGTTCTGATTTACAGCAGAACTGAGCCTGGGCCAGGTGAAGTACAGTTTCAAATTCACAGCTTCCCCAGAATTCCTGAGGGCTTACCCATCTTGATCCAAGACTTTATAATTATTAGCTCTGCATTTTGTACCTGCTGTACGTGGATGTGCAGTCTCCCAGGAGTTATTTTTAACCTGACGCAGAAGTAGTATCTGATGAGGAGAGTCCCTGGTGCTATTGCACTCACTCCCAAGTTCAGCGCAGCAGCAGATCCATTGCAAGCCTTTGATACTCTATTGTGATCCTTCCATGCATTGATAACTTGGTGCAGAAATGTTATGCTCATGCAGGACAGAGGGATAGCCAGAAGCCTGGAGACCCAGTCTGTGTCACTCAGGGGTTAACACAGGGCAGGTTCTCTGCTTCAGTGCTCCAAGAACTGGCATTTCAGCTCATCCTTTCACTTTGCCCTCCCATTACACAGCTATGCATGCTTTCATTTCCTCAATTGTCTCCCCATACTGCCCACCCACATGCTCCCTCCCAACTGTCCTCTAAGTCATCAAAGACTGGATCAAGCTCCTTCTCAATCCACCAGTCCAGTGTGTGTGTGCCTACCCCTTTTGTGTCTTCTTCCATAGGGTCAGCCTCACTTTGGCTGACTTCTTGATTTCCTGACTTACGGTGCTAAGCACAGTTGATGAGACAGGAAGAAAGTGGCAGGGACTGCTAAACCTGAAGATCTCTCCTGCTCAGCCTGGAGCAGAACTGAAGTTATTTTAGACAAGACAAGTAATTAACTTGCCTTTTTTTTTTTTAATGGTAGAATAACCTGTTGGAGAAATCAAAGTGCGGAGTTGAGACCCTGAGAATTAACTATGGAAGGTCGTAGGTGTGAGAGTAAAACGGCAAGTTTTTGGTAAAAAAAGTTACTTATAATGTTCCTTATGCAAATCAATACTTTGCTGGAATACATACACATGAAATGTGAGTGCTTTATGAAAAGTAACTAAGTCAAACCAGGAGATCAGAATGCAGCCATTACAATGCAAAAGAGAAAATCCACTTCAGCCCATGGATGAAGCTACTTGTGTAAGGCTGACCCTACCATTGAAAGTGTCATAGAATCATAGAATAGTTAGGGTTGGAAAGGACCTTAAGATCATCAAGTTCCAACCCCCCTGCCATAAGCAGGGACACCTCGCACTAAACCGTATCACCCAAGGCCTTGTCCAACCTGGCCTTGAACACTGCCAGGGATGGAGCATTTACAACCTCCCTGGGCAACCTATTCCAGTGCCTCACCATCATAAAGGCACACAGATCATGCCAGAAGATCTTCCTGACTGTGGGGACACTTCTTGAACATCCACAGCTCACCATACATAATACTGCACGGATTAACTGTGGATTTAAGTGACACTCCCCAAAATTTTGTTATACCAACATCCAGATCCTGATCTTAACCTCACCTGCAGTTTCTGTCTCATAAAACAGGTAAAAATTGGGGTGTAGATGTACTTTTCCAGAAGTACAGGGTTACCATGAATTTCTGTCTCTTTTCTGAATGATTAACAATGAATCACTGTTTTTTTACAAGTTTCAATGCATTCACCATATGCCAGGTGTCGCAAGAGCATGAGAACATGTACCAATTTGAAACTGGCTAAACAGCTTCACACTGGCATCTCTACTTGGTAGTAGGAGTCTTAAGAAGGAACTACTTGAGTTTAACCTTCATAGTATGTATAAGATACTGTCATCTTCTTGAGCATAATTATCTTTCCACCCCCGCCATCTAATCTTTGCTGTATTTTCCAGTAGGAGGATCAAAAGAAAGTTAGTTAACTGTAGCATTCATCAGATAATCCAAAGGAGACATTAATCTGGAAGACAGTGTTATCAAATAATTAATTCATGGGTTAATTCCATTCTTATTTATCTGATTTTCCTATGATTGTGAGTGTAGGTTTCTCAGCCTAAATCCTAGTACAAAGGGCTTCCTGCTTGAGGAAAGTGATCCTGGAGGGGAACAGGGAAAGGAAGGAAATGTGTATCTTCTTCAGGACACTTGCTAGCTACTGATAAGTTTTAAGAGGAATTATTAATTTTGTCATTAAGATAATACTTGGTGAGTTGCCGAAAAGCTGTAAAAACAGTAAGCAGAAAACTATCCTCATTTTGTATGTATGTGCATGGTTAGGAAAGATTTGCAGTGAGGCTTACTTCTGTACACTGGAATTATTAAATCTGTAGTCTTTTCTCATGTCATCTCTGTCTTTTGGTTGTTCCAGGCGACTTCTGGTAGGTCACTAGGAAAGCAAATCTGTCTTTTCATCAGTGCATTTTCCCTTATGCTGTTCTGACTGTACTAACACTATTGGTGGGTATGTGCTAAATGTGAGCAGACCATATAGAGGAGAATCAGCACAGAAAGAAGTCAATCTGTGAGCAGCGGGACTAATAAAACCTGTTTAATGTTGGCTTGGTGCCCTTTGTCCCTTCCACTTCACAGTGCACTAGGTTGACCTTTCTCCATTTCTTTTATGGCATGCTCTTCTGAAAAGAGCAGTGTGCAGGTTGTCTAGATCAGCACTGTGCATGCTCAGAACTACCTGAGCAATTGGTGCTGCCAACAGTGGCAGCTGAGCTCTGCCTGCCTTTCCCTCAGAGTAATCACTAATTTGGGTTGGCCAACAGCTCAGAAAGTTTTCTGAGAGGGAGGTTAGGGGAGAGGGAGGTTGTGGAAAGAGGTAACCAAATGGAAAGAGGCAGATAAGCCTCATTACGTACAAACCCAGGCTGAAAACGGCTGCCAGTGATTGCCATTAATGAAAGTTGATCCAGAACGCAGCAATGGGATGTCAAATGTGCAATGGCACCAGCAATGCATTCAGGCTGTGCAGCTGTGGCCTCTCCCTTCCACCACTATGCTTTAATTACAATCCCAGTAATTTTCAGAATCCTTTTGTCAACATTGGACATTGCCCACCAAGCTGGGCTCACCAGCGAAAGTCCATTTAATTCCTTGCAAGAGAATGTGATTGATGTGTGTTGAATACTAGCTCTCTTTCTGCATCTTTACAAATGTGGGCATCATATGCTTCTTTCTCATGGACTTCCACAGGCTGTTCACCCTATCTGGGAGATTACACAAGGTTCTAATAAGAGATGAAGTAATGTTTTGTGAGCCAGTTTCCAAATATTTTGCAACTGACAGTTTTATCTTTAAAAATACACTTTTGTAGAAATTATAAATAAATATATGTCTTAGTTTGTATGTGGCATTTAGATGCTCTAGGTAGATTTGAGACACATATGAGTTTATGGCCATTCATATAGATGTGTGTTGTAAGTTGTGCTGTGGATTAGGTGTCTAGAAAGGAAATGGTGCCTCATTACACCCGAGTACCTTAAGCCAGAATTACATTTTATGTACATTTTGTTGTGGTCTATGTTGAAATCTAAGTTGTGGTATCCTGTGCAGTATGATGGAAGATACTGAGTAAATAAGAAGAAATTTCATTCTGAAAGAGGGCAGCATTTTAAAATTTGTGCCTAAAATTAGGCTGATAGTTCATACTCTTCTGGGCAGCTGCATGCCTGCCAGTCATTTCAAGTCAATTGGACCTGCAGATGCTGTTCCCAGAGGAAAGTTTGCCACTGGTAGCTACTGGTGTGAAAATGAACTTAAGCACCTAAGTTTGAAAATATTTTATAAACATTTTTATCCTTCAGCTGGATATTGTTTTAATCCAATACATTGATCACAGTTTTGGGAGTTCTTGCAAAGCAAGAAGCTTATTTAAACCTTTGTGTAACATTCCAAGATGTGGATTCCAAATGGTGTGGTGGTTTCTTTGTAGAGACATGTCAAGTGAAATACGGTATGTTTGCAAGTCTTAGTCAAATCCCTAGTGACCTCTAGCTCACATATTAAGGTCACTATGCAAGCGTCTCTGCTTAAGAGAACTCAGCATTTAAACATCCATTTAAAAATTGATTTGGTTGAATGATACTGTTCATCATGCCCAAGGCCCAACATGTCCTACAGGACAGAAAAAGGAGTGTTTCCTTTCTAAGTGTTGTCAAACAAGAAAGAATGATTGTTCCTCAGTTTTGCATATGTCAGCATAATAGAAGCTTAGTCATGCAAATCCTTATTACTTGGCAGTTCTGCAGCAGGGAAAAACAGAGTGTTACCATATTTTAGCAGTGTTTGTAGTTAAAAGTGTGCCTTTCATTGTGCTTTTTAAGAACAGATGTCAAGACAGTCTTGAAAGCATAAATAAGTGCTTAAAAACATTTTCTGATTTTAAGAAAGGGAAAACCACCCCCTAGCTAGTTGAATGTGTTGGTCTTCATTTCCATAAAAAGACGTGAACTATTTATATGTTTCCTTCCACTTCCATGGGGGGACATAAAACAATTATTCAGTTAATGACAGATTTTATTTTACTATTATTTAGTGATTCTGCTAAGTGCAGTAGTGTACTATGAAGTTTCAAATCATCAAGGATTTCTTAGCCCTTTATGAGACTACAGTATGTTGTAGTATGTTGAGTAAATGAGCTGTGATAGAGCAATGGTTTACTCATGTAATCCATAGACACACATAAAAACCACATTGGAGAAATGCTGGCTGTAGAAACATTAGCAAAGTAAAACAAAGGGGAATACAGATGTTAGTCACATTTTAAGGTGCTATTTACAATGACATAGAGCCAAGTTTATTAGGGACAAGGCCTTTTCCATTATGGAATAGTGTCAACTATGAGAAGACTTGTCTGGCAGTTACTGTTGGCCATATTGGGAAAGACCTAGCCATGACTTACCAGGGTAAAAACTGGCAATGTTAAAGTCCCATATTTCTTCTGAGCTAGCTAGAAGTGGTTAGTTTGCAAGTGAAGTTTTCCTTTCTGGCTTCCTTATGAGGTAATAATTCACTGACTTACTGCTTTGTATCTAAGAATGTCAAGAAGGGGGTTTAGTTGCTCATTTTTGCTTCTGTGCTGTATTCAGGTACTCTGCTGAGGTTGTGAACACTGATTTCATGGTATAAATCATTTGATGCCTGTTTGTTTCAGATCATCAGAGGAATGAATGAGACCTCTTAATGCAGCCCTGTTCTTTTGTGTAGGTATGCAGAGAGTCATTGCGCTGCCTGCCTCATCTGGATTACCATCAGACTCCTCACAGGAGATACTAATTATAGGCAAGGCTGTGAATGCCACCTGTAGTTAAGCTTGCCTGACACTTTTCATCACAAGACCCTGTTTTCCATTGCTTATGAATTTGTCAAATGCATGTTATTTGGACTAAAAATGTACAGACTGGGAGACTGCATCTGACTGAATATCTGAACCTTCAGAAAAAATTGCATCTTCTTTTTTTCCCTCCTGAGAACAAGTTTAAGAGAAATGTGCTGCTTTTTCTCTTGTCTTAAAAATAGATGTTTCTGTCCATTTTCTTGAGATGCTCCAATGATTTGGAGAAAGAATTCAATAAGTGGAAAGTAGAAGCCATGTATCGCAATGATGTCAAGAGTCCAGGCTTTACAAATGTCCCAGTGTACACGCAAGAAGGACTCAAGTACTGTTACAACGTAGAAAGGACGTGGTGAAAAGTAAATTAATTGTGGAGATTTAATTGAAGCTATTTAATAACTACTATTTTCCAGGTTACTGTTATATCATCTTTTTACCTGTGGAAATGAGGGGAAGCTCATCCCATTCACGGAGTCCCATCCGTGATTTCTGGCTTACGAAGCATGCAAGTAGTGCAAAGATGGCATGACAGAAAAGTCATCAGACATTCATAACCCTGTCTTCGTTACAAGACTTGAGTTCAGGTCAGTAAATAAGATCTGGTGAGCAGTCAGAATAAAAATAAAAAAAAAGTTGAACGTTCATGTGTGTAATAATTAGCATTTGGTCTGTCCACTGAATGAGGAAATGGCTTTAGGAAAAAATAGTCATGGCATCCATAGTCCTGCATGCACTGTGTACACCAAGGAGCCTGAAATGCAGTTGTCTGGGAGATCTTGGAAGGTTGTAAGTTTTGAGTGACTGACTTTGTATCTGTAGTGTTCTTTTAATATGATTTTTGGCATATAATTTGCTACTTGGCATTTTGTGTAGATGAAGCAGTAGAAGAGGTAGACAAAGGCATGAAAATAAAGTAATTCTACTCTGAAGGCAAGAAACAGCAAATTCTTTTCATAGACCCTTGGATAACTTCCTGTTTTGTCTGTAAAATAATATTTTTCCATAGAGAGGAAAAAGGTGTTAGACATAGCAATTTCACATGGATAGAAACTTCATCACATAAATAGCCTGCTGTGAATGACATTTTAGGCAGCTTAATCAATATCCTGCCAGAAGAAAAAAAAAAAAACAGAAAAACTCCCTCAAAAAACAGTTGTAAATTCAATGCATCCGTTAATTGGAGATATATTGAAATTCAGATACATGTTACTTATAAAAGAGTGAGAAAATAAACCTTGCATTACTCTAAAGTCATAACCATTCATATACTAATTATCTGTTGATAAAACAGTTGTATGACGTGGGGTTTTGTTTTGTTTTGGGTTTTTTTAGGTTGCTAGGGAATAGTGGATCTATATATTCTTGATAACAATTATCATACACAAGCAGGTAGCACTTTTCACTCAGATTACAAAGAACTCAGCAGAAATTTTGCTATTTTGTAAATGGGAAAAGAGCAGAAAGAGGTCAGGAGCTTGTTTAGAGTGTTGCAGCATGTCTGAAGTACTGTGTTCTGCCTGAAGCTTGATGCCTCCCAACATCACTACACTAGAGCTGCATTTTGTGTATGTTGTATCCTTACATGTGTGACACAGGTCTGCAGGATGCCCTTGCACAGTGAAATAACAGATTTTGATTGTTGTTTCTAAGATCGTAAGCTTGATGTAAAGGGGTTTGAAAGCTAATCAGGAAGTTAGAGCTGAAACAGACTGTAGTTCACTAGCACACTTAACACAGTTGTCAGTGTTTAATTAGGAGACATTTAAGGCTAAATATTCAAGTGTGGCATTTGGGATTTAGTGTTACACAAAAAGGTGAGAAAAGCTTCTGCCCTGACAAGAAGTTGTGAAAACTTACAGTCTTGTGAACAGTGGAAGTTTAAAAGTACAGACAGGCATGACCTTTTTCAGCAGATGTGCTAGTTAGCTTAAACTGTCTAAATAGTAATGCCACTCACTTTAACTTCAAGTGGCTTTGGGAGTATTTCTGTAAGCAAGCTCTGCCAACAAATGTGAGGGAGCAGTAACCTCTGTGAAGAAGTGATGATCAACAGCTGGGACTCTAACCTTCCCCTGGCATGTCTGCATCCAGCAGGGAACATCTGTCCAAAGCCTAACTTTCAAAATTTACAGAACAAAGGTATAGTTTGTTTAACAAAATTGCTTGTATTAGCTGAGTAATGGAATGTGCTTTGATTCTGCTGAAGCCAGAACCACCCAACTTTTACTTTCCTTATTTAATTAGGATTCATTTATTTAGAAAACTCAAGATTGGGGTTTTCAATTTGTTCATTTATTTGTTTTACGGAGCTTAGGTCATGTAAAGCTCCCTTAGCTTAGGAAAAAACTTTTATGTTACTCAGATTTTTGATTTTTTTTCCCATCAAGCTGTGTAAAACATTTAATGATAAAATTGTCCCAAAGCATGTCACAATTTATTTGGTATCATTTTGATATGCCAAGCAGATGGGAGTATACAGTGATCCCATTAAGTGTTTGAGGTTTAAACACATGCTCTTGAAAAAGGAGCAGTGGTAAACAAAGTTGCTGCCTGCATTTCAAATATTGGTAGGTGCTGGTGGTATCCATTCATTTTTTTACTGTCAAAATGGCGCCATGAAATACTGATAGACAGCTCTTTTGATTTAAGAATTACTAAACCAGAATGTGCAGAGTACTATATGAAACTTCAGTGTATTATGGTTCTTTATGTCACTAATTGGAATTCAGATGCTGATTTGTACTTATTTTCTTAAATAAATAGGAACCAAGTTTGGAAAGTTAGGGCAAATGACCCATGAAAAGAATTTCCTTCGTTTTTTTTTCTTTCTTTTCCTTTTTTTCCCCCTAAGAGTGGTTTTAGCCATATCTGTGTCTGTGAAAGTAGAGCACCTGCTGAAGAGGTATAAGGTCAAGTTAAGTGTTGATTCCTACACTTACTACTTCTTGGTTAAATCGTGCATTTGTTAGCCATAAAATAAACCAGCATTGAACAATCCTTGAAATAGCTTGAACCTTGAATAAGAGCATTTTATAATACAAAAGGAGACAGGCAGAAGAACCCTTGTAGATAAATAATCTATCTCCAGAACAGAATTATGTAATTTGACAGTATGTTTTTGTGGGTGAGAGGAATTTAAGTTATTTTAAACTTCTCTCTCTTTTCCTCCTACCTTCGAGGTTATAGGTGTAATGAATACCCCAAATATAATTTATTCTTGTCTGCACTTCTTTCATTATGAAACTTCAAAGCAACAAGGAACATCTCTTGTGGAAAAAAGGGTACTGCAGATGGGGAAATAAGAATGAAAGTAAAAGAGACATGGTAAATAGTGTCTACCAGGAAAGCTCCCATGGAACTGCTGAATGAGGATTGCTGATGCTTGCAGTTGTGTAATTGTGAAATTCAGTGAAGAAGAGCTGTCGGGAGATCTCTGATTAGATAGTGTAGCCAACCCCCATAGATAATGTTTCCTACGTGCGCCACTAAGGGGTGTTACATCAGAGAAACTGATGTATTCTGCGCCCGGTGAAATGGCTGAAAAAAGACACAGACTGGTGAAAAGACATGGAAAGTTTTTCTGGGGTGGATCTTTTTGTGTGTGATCTATCCAATTCTAGGGTATTCAGCACAGCTGTGAAGGAAAAGAAAGGTTTTGTATTATCTGGAAGGTGGAGAGGTGGGTAGATACCCAGTAGATAGGGGGTTCATTGTGTAGTTTCCATTTGCCTTGATTCTGCTATTTAGAAGATGATAAAATGAACACCTCATCCTAACTGCTATGTTTTGCATACACCACAGATATGAGAGTGAAAAATATCCTTCATTATTTGTAACTTACTGTTTTTAAAAAAGTCTCCTTTTGCATTTGGGGCAGCATGTTGTGGGGTTTTTGGATGGAAGAATTCTCTATTTACTTTGCATGTCGTTGTTCTTTTAGAAATACATTTTTTCATACAGGAAGGTGTTGGTGGCTGCCATCAGATGGTTCTTAGTAGAAAGTTTTCGGTCTGGGTAAAGATGTTAAATGTTCTCAACAGCTTTCCTTTGGGCTAAATGATAGGTATATTTAAGCATGTTTTTAGCTGCTTGTAGGAAGGCAGTAATCAAGCAAAGCAAAGACTGAGCAGAATTAGGCTGTGCAGTCTGAGGGACTGGTTCCAAATGCAGTGAAAGTAACTCAGGTAAGAAGCTGCAAGCATGGCTTAGGAGTAAGTGGGGAGTTGAGGCCCTTTGGGGCTTATGACTCACCGGCCAGGGAGGCTTGGGCATGCTGAGCAATGAAAGTGGCTGTTATTTGATTTTTTACTTTGTGTGATTATATACTTTGCAAACAGCATTGCACAAAATACAACCGCAATGAACACCTGTTTGTGTCATCAGCTGCTTTCTCAGGGATGTAGCCCATGGCTTGTGCTGTGCATACAGCTGTGCAGGATACATATGTAGACATCAGATTATGTCAAGATACCATAGTGAAATGTTCTGCTTCTAAAAGAATTTGTGATACAGTGGCCAGAGAAGTAACGCTGATAACTTTCTTACACTTGGCACAGAAACTGTTTCTTTACAGAAACAGTTGAGCACTGCTTTAAAGGAAGCCTATCTGTTACTTTATTTACCCTTCTAAACACTGTCCAAGCAGGCAAGATAATCCCTTCACATTGGTGCAATTCTTTCCAGGTATTTACTTGAGAAGTGGCTTATGCAGTAACAAAGCCCAGTAACTCAGCTGCAATGAGGATCTGTTGAAAATGCATGGTCTTGCAAAATTCTGGGTGGGTGCACTCAAAGATTGATATTGCTCGTAAGCTTGGACCAGTAATTAATCATGAGGAAGTTGGGAAGGAAAAAAAATGAGCAGAACAGAATTACCAAAACACACCTAGAGAAAACAGTGCTCTCATGACTATTTTATTAATAATAATAACTTTTTTTTTATTACAGCGGGGGTAATAGTTGTAGTTTCCAGAGAAGTCAGCGGGAGCTATGCATGATTCTGAGGTCTGATGGTAGTATCTTAAATGCACCATATTGTATGAACAGTGAACATTGTGAATACAGGAATGAGAACCAGTTGCAAGCTGTAGCCGGTCTGCATCAGTCAGCAAGGAAAAGGCATGTTGTACCCTGTATTATTTGTAAAGTAGGACATGCTTTTACAATTAAAGGCTTGTGTCATAGTGAATACATGTAGGGAAAGCACTTCACCCTTGACATTTCTTTCACGTACTAAGCACGACAAGCTACTTGGTTTTGTGTGTCTTGCTGTGCTAGCAACCCCATTGAAATTATGCAAAAAATGGGTAGACATGGTATGATCCGTTCTTTAATAATTGCAAAACACTCTAGGATCTTCAGAAGAAGGATGCTCAAGAAGTGTGAAATGGCTTTTATTGGGGGGGTGGCGTGGTGAGGGGATGGAGAATATAATGGGGCCCTGGTTCAGATAGTGCTTGTTTCAGTCTGACATCTTAGTGGGGCGCTTAAAGGCATGTTTAATGCCAAGTGTATGAAACCTTGTTGAATAAGTTAAGCATCAGCTGAGTCAGGTGTATGCTTCTGTGCAGCTTGCCCTCTTCTCAGCTCTATTAGTCTACAGCCTGGGAGACTGTGAACAGCAAAAACTTGGCAATGAAGCTGGTTTCTTACCCTGATAACTTGTAAGAGACACATGGGTGATGCTGCCTGTTAATTCAGAAGCCATTTAACACTTAATCATGCTTGTCTAGTACAAGCCAGGAAGGACACTGCTTTCTGCAACCTCTAATTGGGTGCCATCAGTAATATAAGCCTAAGATTGTCCCAGTCAGCAACTGTATTGTCTAATCAGCACAAGCATGTGCCCACTGGGGATCAGACATAGATAAGCGGGAGAGAAGGAGAGAGAGATCTGAACATAACTACTAGATGAGCAGCATGTCAGGAGCATAGAGGATGTCTAGATTTATGTGCTTTTGGCAGCGCTAGTGAGCTATTAATCATTTCTCATGAATAGAGCTCTTGTAAATCAGGGGTAGAAAACACATTTTGTGGATAATCATGGCAAAAATGTCAGCTTTGCTATTTGGTCATACGCTGATAGGATGCTTAGCACTGGAGCAGATGCAATCACACACATAAAATCAAAACAGTACTGCCCTTATATGATGAGTGGAAAGCAGGGAGGCAGTAGAAAGGTGGATGTTTTCTTCAGTATTTGAAAAATAGGGAGCTAACATGTAATAATAGAAAAGAAGACCTATAGGTTTTTGAAAATGAAGCTTTACTGAGGGAGCCAGGGCTGAGTTCTAGTGATCATATGGATATAACATAACACGTTTAATAAGACACACTTTGCATCATTTTAACAGCTGGCTGATCAGTTCATGGTTTTTCTTTACTTTTATTGCCCTGCAGTTTTCTGTATATGGCCCTTACGTGCAAATACCTCATTAGTCACACAGGGTTGCATATTTCGTGAAGTATACTGAATGTGCTGTCATAATTAAATATTGCCAGGATAACAAGCAAAGGTGGGGTTTCTTAGCTTTATCACTGAAGGCAACGTTCATGGTGAACAGAAAAGTAAAAGTAGCTGGAAAGCAAAACATGGAAGGTCTCCCTTCAAATTGTGCAAGGCAACTGGATCTGCTGTGTGAAACCCATTGCTCAAGGACTGACATTTAAAGAGCTCTTGGAAGTGAATCCTGTGTGAGGGAGGTGAGGGAGAAAGCTTCACCCAGGGCTTTCCAGTGCATTAGTTGCAGTAACCAGTCAGAGCTGAAAATCTCAGTGGCTAAATCAGGATTAATGCAGGATCATTCTTAGGTTAAATATAGTGGTGTCCTCAGTGTGCGTTTGGCTTAAGACTTTTCTAATGTTCATTTCCTTAAGGGAGCATCTCCTCCACACACCTGCCCCTTCCGTTTTGTTCCACTAGCCTCCAGTCCTATGCCATTTCTCCATAAATTAGCAACATACAGAAATGGAAATGACCTGTGCTGTTGTCCAAGTTAATGCTGGTCACATCTACACTGGGAAATGGTTTCCACACAAGTCCTGGAAATGGAATGGTTTCCACACAAGTCCTGGAAATGGAATGGTTTCCACACAAGTCCCTGGCTTTGGGATTAGGTGGCATCTATAGGAGTCCTGCCCCTCGCAAGAGCTGTGATGGAGGCTGCTGTGTGACTGTCCTGCACTGCTCGTCCCAACATGCTGAAGTAACAACCTGTGGGAGACTTTTAACTGCATTTCCTGGGAGTTGTGGGAAAAAAGTCCAGGCTTTCCAAACTCCCTGGGAAACATCCATACATCCCCATGAATCACAACCAGTTTGAAATCCCCTTTCAAGTTAGAAGTCATGGATTTTGCTCAGGAAAAAAAGAACAACAGTGTTTTGAAAAGCTCTCTGAGTTAGCTTGTAAACAAAAGCATCCTGACAATGACCAGTACCAGTGTTTTTCTGCATTTGGGTTGGCCCAAGACAAATCAGGTCAGAGCCAGGCTTGAGACAGAGATGTGCTGGCTCTGTAGGTGTCACTGCATTTGGTGCTGTTGGTGTGTTCAGTGCTGCAGACTCACCCCAAGATTCCTCATCTCTCCCCTTTAATTACATCAACCAAATTATACTGGATTTCCTTCTGCAGAGCTATCTGTTTTTAGGGGGATTTTCTTGTTACTTAAATTCTTGTCTTTTTCAGAGTTGTAAAGCTTAGGGTAACCATATTATAGCTATGGAGATGAATTTGTCTGCAGATAGCTGTTATCCACCAGAAGGGGTGATTTCAGCATGCTTGAAATTGAGACTCAGTCTCAATTTGCTATTGCTTGGCAATGGGGAATCAGCAGAGAGAGAGTGATTCCCCTCTCCTTCTCCCTCTTACTTGAATTTCAAGACTTCCTGTCTATGCTTCTTCAGAGTTATGATGTTCCTGTGGTGGCTACAATTCAGGACAATTAAGGAAACAAACAAACACAACAGAGAACGTACTTCTTCCAAACAGGTATTTCAGCATCTGTTTTTTCCTTTCTAGTTTTTTGGTTGGTCATCCCCAGACTTTCCCAATAGGTGTTACTTCATTTGTTGTTGTGAAATTAGTTGTCTGTTTAATATTCCAAGACCTCAATCACAGTCTTAGAAGTTCTGTAGTTTCTGTTAGAATGTCTCAGGACTGTGGTCTAAATACCAACAAATTTCTGGAGATGTTGAGAAAGGAGTGGGGTCATAGTTAACCTCTTAATACACTATGCTGACCTCATCCTTTTTCATTTTTTTTTTCTTAGATGCAGGCTAACAAATTTCAGCTGTCCTTTCATTTTGCTAATTTAACAAACTTCATGTTGGGGTCCAGTAGATTGCTCCCTGGTGCCATAATTGAGGCCACCTTCTCTTCATTCTACTCCTGGCTTCACAGTCCTGTCTCCTTTGCACTGTCATCCTTCTTGCTTGTTGTATGAGGCTCTGCTAAAGTGTTTGCTTTTGCTGAGCTGCTGTTCTGCCTGTTTGGTGAGTTGAAGTGGCTCTGGCTGGTACAGAGAGAACAGCAAGAGTGCAGTTAGGAGAAAGGGCTGAGGGAGGGAGAGGAGGAAGAAGAATGGGGGAAAGAGCTCTATTTGTTTCATTGCAATAAACTAAACTGTGCCCTTGCCAATGCATTGGTACAAAGCCAACTGAAAGGGTTTGCTGCATTTGCCACAGAGGCATAAGAAGGAGGCAAAGTCCATGCCTCAGTCACTGTGGTTTGATAGCCTGGTGTCCCAGTGCCCTGATGGACCTACGGTGGTGGTGCAAAGCCTGCCAGAAGACCGTGGTACCCTGCTCCCCTCACATCTATTGCCTCACCATGGCAAAGGTGTTGGATCTGTGTGGGAGTCAACTGCCGAGCCTGTATGTCTTGGATCAGTGCTCCGCATGGTCCTGATTAGCCACAGAGGATGCCTGCTACTTTTTTGTTTCAATTTCACGTCCTTAGGACTGTGTGTGTCTGCCTCTCAGACCCATTATCTTTATCCACAGCACTTTTAAAAACTATTCAAATACTTCTAATGACTTGTTACTTGGGTGCCAAATAAAAGAAGTAGAGCAGGATATTTTTCGTCAAGTTCTTATTAAAAAGAATGTAAAAAACATTAATTGATACAAAGTCATAAAGATCTGGGCCTACATTTCTTCTCAGAGCCCTTAGGGTGAAATTAACCCTCAAGTAGAGGCTTTTTTAAAGGCTTTTACAGCATGCTAGTCCCATGTGGGGTCTGAATAAAGATATATTATGGAATAATTTTACTGTATAATTTTCAAGTTCAGTATCTGCCTGGATCTTTTGAGTGTTTAGCAGACTTATGATCTTGCAGTACATATATTGATCCCTAATCTTTGACAAATTGAGAGTTGCAGTGTAAAGCCACATTAATAAATTTGTCAACTTGATAAAAACCTGACCCACAATAAAGCAATATTTAATGTTAGGTATATATAGTACAAAAATATTTATTATCTACTTATTATATATGAAATTGAGATTAGTTTTGTAGCTATATGTGATATAATTACACATACATACGTACACATTATACGTACACATTGTATAGTGTGTATATATGTAAATATGTATTATTTTCAGCTGTTGTGGGAAAAAGTCTGAGGAAAAGAAGGAGTGGTGAATACCATCAGTTTTACTTCGTGATACACTGAATAAAGCATGCTTCCAGCCCAAACTAAAGAAAGGATTGCTATGACTTAATATGACATTTCAAACTGAAGAATGTAACTTCAGAACAAGAGTAACTGGTTGTACTTTCTTATACTGTTCCTTGTTTTGATGCAACTTTTCCTCTGTATGTTTTCTTTAATTTTTATGTTTTATGTGAAAGCTGAACAGGCTGAATTTGTTTGTAATTTGGAATTTAAAGCAAGCCTCTTTGTTAAAAGCCCAGAGGAAGTTTCCCTATGACTTATAGGCCATTTGGGCTCAATTGAATTTAATGGTTTTCAGCTGCACCTCCACAATGGCTTTGAAGGAAGTGAAGGGAGATCTAAAGGTCTTAATTGCTCAAGACTGGCTTGTTTCTCTTGAAAAGGCTGTTTGCAAGAAGTAGGTTGGGAATATTAAAGTATATATCCTGAAAGGGGTGAAGGAGCTGCTGTTTGAGGAATGGGCTAGGATGAAAATAGCTTTAAGATGTTACTCAGCAGCTGAACTAGTCAATCTGAACTGGTCCGTGCTAGGTTCTTGTTTGTTTGCATAAAGATTATCAAATAATTGGAGGGCATGGCTAATCCAAACTTCCTTTATTACTCTTCCAAGAAATGAATGGAGATCTTGGAACTGACAAGATAAATTAGGCTGAGACCAAGAGAGAAACCCAAACAGATAGTCCCTTTGGCCTCTCTCATGCTGTTTTACAGACATGAGTTTTTGAGTCAGCAGGTGAACCATGACTTCTAAGAGTAGTGGTTTGTTTATACTTCCACTGTACAAAGCGTTTCAGTGGAATGGAACAAATCTAACCGTGCAAATTTCTATTTCATATTTCCTTCTGTATGTGCGTTGCCAACTGGCCTTATAGATTGTTTTTACTAAGTTTGCTAGCATTATCTCTGGCTTTGCATTAGGAGGTGTCTGACCCATAAGAATTTCTTATGACCTTGTTTTCCAGGCAGGCAGGAGAACACGTGAAATGCAAAGTTAGGAATATAAAGGAACTATTGTCTTACTCCAGATAAACCAAGAGACCATATTACAGGAAGTTAACCTTTGGTGTACTCTATCATTTTGGTCGGCATCATACAGGCAAGTAGGAAGGGGACATTCTCCTGAGGTACCCGGCAGATGAATGCCAGATGGTACTGTCATAATACACAAAAAATAGCTGAATACCCACCACTTGTGTTCCACACAAAAGGAACATTTTTCTTTTTCTGAGTCCTGCAGGGCAAAATTCAGACAAGCATCTTAATGCAAACATCACAGTAACTGAAATATGAGGCTGGAAATCCAAAGAATTCTCCAAAAGCTTTAAGTAGCTTTTTAGGCTTGATTCATGTTGGGCCTAATGGATCCTCAAAGGGGAGAATGGTTTATCAGAGACAAGCATTTTAAGTACAGCATGTTTACATGGCAGATAAATGGTAGTTTGTTACATAAAATAGGAAGGTTTGATGAAGAACACAATGTCAGAGCTTTGCTGTTGAGGCCAGTGCTGCCTATATTGTCTGGATAAGTAGGTCCAATCCCCAGACTAATGTCTATGTCAAACTGTGGGGTCTAATTTTCTGAGGGGAATTTTCTTCTTTGGTGGTTTCTGAATCTTGGTCAGAAATGAGTAGAGAAAAATCTCAGGCCACTGTCATCACCAGTAGAGAGATGCTGCAGCATCTAGCTGATGGGGAAACCTGTTTACTTTTCCCTTGTTAAAATATACCCATTTCAGTTTCCGTGCAGGATTATAAGAACAAAAATATGCTGCTCTTTAGTGGAATGGCATGTGAGTAAATACCATACATTTCTACAAACCTTAGATGCGAAGGGCTGCATGCAAACATTTACATAGAACAATATGGATGTTGATTCGGAGAAAACTCCAGGAACAAACTCGCCAACAGAGTTTCAAGTTGACAAGCAGTTTTTCTTTATTGCTGCGCCGGGAGACACAGGGGATAGCTCCTGCTCCTAACGTGTGTCACCGTATTGCCATGCAGGCCATCCTCGTGTGGTCACTGGGCATATTACATCATTTTCCAGAAAGTTTCCCGCATGCATACAAAAATGTGATGGTGGTCTTTAAGGGTTGTTTACTTTTCCCAACAATCTTCATAACCAGCTTAATTAACATTACAGACATAGCAATCATCCTGTCCTTCTACTTATCAGGTGGTTTAACTGCTTCCATCCTGGACATCAGCTAGTCCAGGATACTCCCCATCCCCAGGTCATAGAATCATAGAATAGTTAGGGTTGGAAAGGACCTTAAGATCATCAAGTTCCAACCCCCCTGCCATGGGCAGGGACACCTTGCTCTAACCCATATCACCCAAGGCCTCATCCAACCTGGCCTTGAACACTGCCAGGGATGGAGCATTCACAACCTCCTTGGGCAACCTATTCCAGTGCCTCACCACCCTAACAGGAAAGAATTTCCTCCTTATATCCAATCTAAACTTCCCCTGTTTAAGTTTGAACCCATTACCCCTTGTCCTATCACTACAGTCCCTAATGAAGAGTCCATCCCCAGCATCCCTATAGGCCCCCTTCAGATACTGCTTTTCTTACACCTTTTGTACTAAGGTCCTAAGGACCTGAAACTATGTCAATTACCTTCAAGCACCGCAGTTATTTTCCATTACAAAGCCATCAAACTTAACATTACTTAGAACCGATTATGTTTTGTGCTTTTGTGCCTCCTTGTCTCAATGTGGAGCTGGGTCTCAGTCCTATAGGAATAATATTTCTGACTGCCTGGATCTTTCAAGCTATTAAATTTACTGCCTGCAGGTAGAGGCCAAGTAAGTAGGTAGGTGTGGTGCTGTGACAGAAACTGAATGGTTAGCTCTGCTCTTCATCTCTTCTCCTTAAATCCTGTCCAGGCTTTATACAGCCTGTTTTCCTAATAGCTGAGCTTACCTAGTTTGCTAAAGCAATACACTTGTACGTGCATGCCTAAGTCATTATTGTTCTGTATTCTGGCCTATTCAAGGTTAGAGAAGTCTTCCTCAAAGCTTCCCAGAAATGCTGCTAATGTTTGTCTGTTCATTGTCTTTGGTGGTTGCATCTTCTTTCATTAACTAGGGTAGTTGGTGTTGAAAACCAAACAGAACATAATGACAGACCACAATGAGCTGTCTGTTGCTGCAGATGGAGGATACCTCTAGGATTTGGGTCAGAAAATAGTTGGCAAGCATCCCTCTGAATTATTCTTGTCATATTTTGAGGAAGCCTGCTTAGTGGCAGGGGTGAAGAAGGAAGCTGAAATCTTAAAATGGCTGCAATGTGATTATTTTGTTTTGTTTTTATTTAGTATCAAAGCTATTTACAGCATATCTTGCCAATTTATTCGTACCGTTGCTGGCATGTTTTTTTCTTCATTCTTTGCTTTCAGAACAGGAAAAAACTCCCCACAATCCCATGTAAATTTGCGATGGCAGGAAAAAGGAGGCTTACTTATACCCCCTTTAGAACCGGGCCTTGCAGAGGTACTATAAGAAGCCATTTGTTTTCTTTAAACACAGTTCAGCTTCACACAGGCTCACACACATATTCAGATGGTTTCCACTTGAAATTCCTCATCTAATCCAAATAACTCTCAGCCTTGACTGCGTAGCTATGAAGGGGCTCCCTTGCCCTGTGCCTCCCCAAGCATGTGGTGCTGAGGGCTGGGGAAGGCAACACACTCAGGTGGTTTGCATGCTTTTGCTTGCTTGAAGAGGCATTAGTCCCCTCTTTCTCTGCTGCTTGTGAAAAGGAACAGAGTGATGTTTGAGGGAGTTTTTCGTTTGTTTGGAGACTCTTTAACACACACTCTGCTGTCTTGGGCAGTCAGTTTGGGGTTTGCAGACCTGCAGAAAGAGGACATCATATTTAAAGCTGATAATAGGGCAGATCTACATGGCCTGGTGGTGAAACAGAAATGAAGTGCACTATTACACTGTCTTTACCCTTGCTATTCTGTCTGTTTAAACTAACGTCATTTATTGTTTATAGTTCTTCAGTACAGGCTTTTAAACAAATACCTTTTTGTTCTTCCTCTTGTAGAGCACGAATGTAAGATTTGGGATGGATGGGTGGTGGCAGAGCTGTTGGACCCTACTGCAGCTGTTGGCTCACAGACTCTTCTGTCCAGGTAGTCTGTTTTCCCTAGGAAAGGTTAGGAATTGCTAATGCTCAAATACACTCCTGTACCAAGACATTGTCCCTTGATGCAGTTGAAGTTGCTGTGGCTGCAAGCAGGCGAAGAGGATGCTGCAGGCATCAGGCTGGCCTGGAAAGAATGACTGTAGAGATGGGATAATGCCCGCGTTTCATTCCAGGTCCTGGACATGCTGAGACTGTATTCCCCTGATTTGTCAAATTCCTTTATGGGGACCTGCAAATTCAATTTATCAATCACAATGCAGTATATCAGCAGCTTTTTTTTGTGTTTAACCAGTAGGAACTATTTTGCAGATATATCTCCTTTGTCTGCATATCATCTGCAGAAGTACTTGGTGTGTCTATACATGCAGACCAGACTTCTTCATTTATATTGCCATACCAGTTGTATTGCTCATTGATCCACTCTATAGAACTACAAAATCATAACACTTTGATGCACATTTTAATATATCATATCCATTTTTTCTTAGAGAAGAAAGGAAGTTATTTTGTTTCATGTTTTCAATGTATTTCATGTATTAATTTTTGGGGCTCAAAACCATGCAAAATAAAAAAAAAAGTGAAAAGACACAAAGACTTTTGTTCAAGAAGCCGTCAAACTAAATTGAGACTGAGGTGATGAGTTAGGTTAACAGAAGTGGGGCAGTAGGTTAAGGAAGGACAAGGGTTACAGAAATAAGATTAAATGCAATCCATGCAGTACACCCTAGTATACTTCCTTATTCCCTGCTCTAGCCAGATGCTGCAGAGAAATGGCTAAAGATTAGCTCTCAAGGGCAGGGAATTAAATTTGTGGTGTTTGTTGTTAACAGTGTCTAGTTCAGTGGACACTAGTCCCCGTTTGAAATCTGTGTGTTATGACAATGCAAATAATACACACAAAATAGTAGCAGTAAGATCCCTTGGCCCAGCTCCTTTACGAGTCTTGTGCCCCCCTTTTTGGCTGAAAAAAAAGGAAGGGCTGTGCAGCTCATGGGGATGCAGCCATTATTTTGGGTGTTTGTTCTTATCTTTTGAAGCTTTGCTCATCCCGTTCAGAAAGGATATTTCAGCCTGGGACTAATTTTGATTTTAACCCTGCCCCTCTCCCTATTCCATTAGTGATATCTGAAATGTTTGGATCTGACTACGTGGAGATAGGAATACCAGAAAAGAGGGCCATATACTATCTGGGCATAGTCTGAAGCCCAAATTCTGATGAGGGAGTGAGAACAGGATAGATAAATTTTTTTGAGAACAGTAGATCTCAAGAGTAATTTTCCTGCAACTCAGATACTTGCAAAAGAGGCATCAGAAAGCACTCATACCTGACCAAAGGTTTTTGCTTCTGATGGCTGAAGTGAAGTATGGGTTTGAAACTGTTGCTCCCTGGCCTGCTGAGCTCTGGTAGGTCCAGGTTGATTACTGCCCAGCAAAGCTTGCCAGAGCCAAAAAGATCAGTAGCTTTGTAAGCCATGAAATATGTGGTCTGCTCCGTCAGGATTACCATGTGCAGTTGGCTCCAATACATTGGTCTTTGGAATGTAAGAATACCCTGGAAAAGTCAACTGTGTTTAGAGCTTAGTTTTATATGTGGTCTGAGCCCAGCATCCATGCCTTAGACATGCTTCTAACATATTTTGGCTACATTGTGAGGTGTTAAAATTTAGCTGGAAAAGAGTTTAAACACTGCTGCTTTTTTGGTTTGGGCCCCACAGTGGCCATCATTCTCTGCTCCTTTACCTGTTATTTCATCCTTTAAGTCCAGCTCCCTCCAGAAGCATGAGCTCTCACACAGCTGGTAATTCTTATGTGTCCAAGTAATGTGGATTTGGGTCCAGAAGACATGGTCAGTTTGTCTAATTAGCTTCCTGTCACTACAGCCAAGGCAGAAATTTAAGGTACAGTAATTCATTTTATAACTACTCTACCTGGCACTGGATATAGATTGGAAAAATTCTTTGCTTGAGCGAGATGTGTGGTAATATTGTTAAGCTATATTAAAATCCTCTTTAAAAATAAATTAGATTCTCATGAGTGCAAGAGACTAGTATCCTGTACCACAGCCAGACCAGGCAAATCTCCTCCTTACCCAGGACTGCTAAATTCTTCCATGAAGAGGAAAGCCAGGCAAAAAGTTGTACCCTACATTTTTCCTTTGGTCACTCTTAAAGGCTTTGTTGTTCTGTCTTCAGAAAGGCTAAATAGAGCATTATCTGTGGGCAGAACACATTAGGAACCATACCTATTCATCAGAGCTGTGCTTGTACATCTCCCCATGGCAAAGCAAACTGGTGTGTTAGAAAAAGGTCCCAAATATTTAGGGCAGAAATACTCTTCTTGTAAGTGCTGGTTTTCTTATGTGTCTTCCTCTCAGCTCCCAAAAGCTCCCCTTATGAATGGAAAAAAATATGCACTTTCAAATTCTCTCCTGGGCAATGAGAGCTCATATCTCTCTCTCACACTGATACTGTAATTTCACACTTTTTTTTTTCTGCCAGCGGTTGAGCCTTTCCTCGTTATATATGACATGCATGTTTTATTTTCATTAGGGCTTCTATAGTTCAAGCAGCCTGGTAGAATCATAGAATACTTAGGGTTGGAAAGGACCTTAAGATCATCTAGTTCTAACCCTCCTGCCATGGGCAGGGACACCTCACACTAAACCATGTCACTTATATTGATGCGCTATGATGAATAAGGGGAAGAGAAGTGGCTGGGTGGAAGGGTTGCTCCTGAAGAAAAGCAGTTGCAGGAGCCAGTGGGCTGTCCCATGTCCTAAATAGTGTCACTTTTGTCCTCTGCACACTGCCCTCCCCCAAATGCTGCAGGGTTTTCCTGACACCAAAGCCTCCAGTAACACCACAGCCTTTCCAACTGCTGTCACAAAGCAGTAAGTCCACATCGTGGGGAAGAAACAGGGCTGGAAAGTGGAAGGTATCAGTCAAATACTGTCTTTTGCCTTGCCATATGGATGAGACCAGGGCATAGAGAGTCTATGGGTGATTAGCTGAGCTTTTGCTTAAACAAAAAAATGTCCAATGTTGTACTTGTTGGATGGAAACTAAGATAAACTAGATAGGGGTCAGGCTCTCTGATAACTTACGATTTACAGCAGCTAGGAGCTAGACCATTTTATCTGAACAATGTCATGTCCCAATTGCCACCCAATTATCAAAACTTTCTGGCCTGATCATCATCTCAGAAGATCTCACACGTTATTAGTCTTGTCTTTCACCCAGAGAAGGGCAAGATGTGGAACCCTTTGTAGGAGGGAAGATGGGAATGCTACTCACTGCAGTTTGTATCTTGACTTAATAAAGCTGAATATTTAACTTGTTGAAGAATAGTTTGACAGCTACATGGAAGCTACTTTTTTTCCATGCCTGCTGATGGGGCACTTGTATAATCTGGCTGCTGGTGCTAAACCATTTGCTTGAAGAGAGCTATTCAGGTTCTGATGTCTGTGCACTGCCATGGGTCTTCAGGTTTTGTGCTTTAATTCTTTATGGGACTGACCATACATAGGAAAACATCCTCATTAAAGTAATCTATTTGCAAAGAAAATACTTTCGCATTAAAAGCCACCCCAGACATGTAAGTTTGTTATGTAGCAAAATAAAGCTATATATATCTGTGGATAAGCATATACAGCTTAGGTTTTGAATACCCAAAGGATGCTTTCCCCTGGATGTCCATTACTGATAAACGTGCAGCATCAGAAATATTAAACAGATTCCCTGAGCACGACAAAAACTGGTAACTGGCCTATAAACTCCATGTTCCCTGAAATGCAGCCCACACTGTAGCAATGCAATCAGACTTCCTTTATATGAAACCTTAATGTCCTCTCCTAATTCTTTTCCTCCTGCATTCCCACCTTCCTGCCCCTTGGCATTCATTCACACTGACGTTATTAAAGTTGTCTCTGAAGCTGGCCTAAGGAGTTGTACATGTTATTTACATCACAACAGAGCCTGGGGGCATCAGACAGGGCTGGGGGGCTGTTGTGCTAGCTGCTATTCAGCCTTTAAGTACAAAGATAGTCTGTCCCAAAGAGATTTCTATCTTGAATTTTAACAGGTAGACACAGGGAGATGATTGTTTTGCTGATGCTTCAGACTCTTCATTCAAGTTGCTGTGAGTCTTTAGGAAAACCTCCTCCTTTGTTGCAGAGGTATCACACAAGACTGTTAAATTGAGACATCCTGAGCTCCTTACTAGCTGCTGGTGCAGAATTCACAGCAGCCAACCAGTGGCGTGTAACACAGATCGGGTAGAATTAAAGTGAGCACAAAGATTTCCCAGATTTATTGCGAGTCCAGTCTAATGCTCATATTCAGAGCATGTGTATATTTCCACCTCAAAAGAAAAGAAAACAATCTCCCCAAGTCCCTCAGAGGCAACTAGATTTTTTTAAAGCTTTTCACTGGAAAAAAACCCACAAACCTTTAACCCATTTAAAGCCATGTTAGAAAGTCAGCCTGTAAGTATACAAAACACTGGAGACCATCATATGCTAATCTGATCTTAACAAAACACATAGCATTACCAAGTATAATTATACTGTCCAGCTATTAGTAGCCTTACCTCTGGCTGTTCTCCATCATGCTTTCAAGCTACATCCTTTCCTTTCATCTTATTCTACACCACATGAAACAGGTGAGCTGTTCCCTTTATATAGCTCAGGGCTCCAGTCACGTGGCTCTCAAAGCTTGGTATCTTCATTTAATCAGTTGAAAGAATCAAAATAATCAGAGATATTTCATGAACTCCATGCCAAAAATTAATTTTGTTAAGCATTCAAAGTGTACCAAGTTCAAAAATCAAGAAAAAAAAAATTTTTTCCTAGGAACATCTACTTTGAAAAGCTGCCCTGGGGGCTACATTTGTAGTTTAAGAGAATATCTCTCATGAATCACCCATACATCACTGCTAGCAAGTTCTGCAAAAAGAGAACTCCAATGCTTTTTATTGTCAAGGCAACACTGTGGACTCTGTATCCCATTTGTTCATGCATAGATAGTAACAGCATCTACTTTTTATCTGATTCCATTTGAATTTTTATCTTGACTTAACTGCTACTGACTTGTTACAGGAAAGCACAAGTTGTTTAGGGTTATCTTCACCAGTAACAACTTCTGACAGCAAGGAGATGGTGGATACTTCCCCTAAAGTCTGTATTTGGTACCTCACTGCTGGATTGGATGACAGTGCTGAGTTAAACTGGATAGAGCAGCGATTTTCAGTTTTGAAGTCTTTGAATGCATGGGTGGGACAAGTAAGTTATTTGTAAGGGGTCTGTCTGTGAAAGGTGACTCAGATAAGGCTCATGACAATAGGCTTAACCTGGCTTGAAAGGAGCCTGAAGTGCCCCTTAAAAATGCTGTGGAGTCTGCACACTGGAAAAGATGAGAGCCCTGGGGCTATACTATATGCTCCGATTTAGGACCTTGGGCCCGTGTTATCTGTTACATCATTCTTTCTCTAGCACCAGACTAACCTCACTTCCTTGCATATGGGTATCTCAGGCCCACCATGACCATCTGACCCCAGACAGTGCAGATATTGCCCTGACAGGCACACAGCACTTCTGTTTCTCTCCATAATCCCATGTTTTTCTTTACAGCATCAGCTGAGTTGATAGTTGTTGGGTACATGAAGGTGATGACACATCAGAGGTCTCAGGGTTAGGCCTCTGAGAAGCTGCAACAGTACCTTACAGGTAAGTCAGGTATTTCCTGACCTTCCTATAGTCCAATGAACAAAACCAAGGAGACATCTTACTGAGTTTCTATCAAGATCTGTGCTGCCTTTAGCAGTAGAAGAGACTTAAGATGTCTGTTAGTATGAAAACAAAAACGTGTGTGCAGGGGTTTGTGAGATGAAGAGATGTATTTTCCAAACACAGAAGTACTTGGTGATAGTTTTACTGTCAGATCATCTGCTCTGTGAAGTCACCTTCCTGACACGGGGTTCACTTTATGTTTGCTAAAAAACCGTTGGAGATCGTCTGGTCCAATTTCTTGCTCCAGACAGGGTAGACTTCAAAGTTAGGTCAGGTTGCACAGGACTGTGTCCATCAAGCTCTGAGGATCTCCACAGGTGGAGGTTCCACCATCCAGGCACCTTAGCAATGATGAGCTTTTTATTTTTCCTAGTATTTTTCTCCCCTTATATCTCATCAAAATTTCTCTCGTGGCAGCTTCTGCCTGGTGCCTCCCATGCTTTCACTGTGCTCTTCCAAGCAGAGCCTGTCCCTGCCTTCTCCATGCTCTCCCATTTAGTACTTGCATGCTGCACTATGGTCCCCCTTTATTCATCTCCTTTGAAGTCTGAACAAGCCCAGCTCCCACAGCTTCCCCTGCTGTATTGTGTGCTCCAGACCCCTGGTCATCTTGGAGGCCCTCCAATGGACTCCCTCCAGTATGTCCTCATCAGTTTTGTACCAGGGAGCCAAGGCAGGACACAGTGTTCCCAGTGCAAGCTCCTGAGTGCTGAAGATGGAGGAATAATCACTTCCCTCAACCTGCTGGCTACATGCTTGCTGAAACAGCCCGCTGTTTGGGGTTGAGTCACAAGGAGTAGGTGGAGGTAAGTATGGGTTAAGGATGGATATGCTGTAGGGCACTGAGGTAACACTGCTACACACACTCCTATTGCAAGTAGGATGGCATGGTTTCGGCAAACAGGGTGTCTGCTCACAGCTTTCCGCCCCACCCTGCTGTCTGGAGATGCTCATGAATCACTGTAATTCAAAAAGAGTATAGCTTGCTTTCAATCACCACAGCTGTGAGCTGCGGCACTCGCTCAGATGATTCACAAAGGGTTCAGCCTCCCAGGCCCAGGGGTTTGGGAGGCCACCGGTTGAAATGCCAGACACTGCAACTTCATCTGTGTACAAGGGGTTTTACATGTACCATGGGACTTGGTGGGATTTGAATTAAAACCTCAGTGGTTATTCTTTTCTGTCCTTTTCCTCTGTTACTCTGCATTTGCTATGGAAGCTGTCGGGCAGTGTTAACTGATTTGTTTGCTATTTTGTTATTGGATTTGGCTGGAGAACTGTTGTGGGGAGCTGTGTGGAGGGGAGTTCTCCCTCTTCTCCTAACTCAGCTTAGGAAATGTGGCAAGGTCATCAAAGAGTGGGCAAATTTTTTTGTCAAGCCGTAGACAGATTTCATATGGGTCATGACAGTAACTCCAACATTAATGCTACCACTACCAACAGTCTTACAAGAGCTGTGAACTATTTGGCAGAAAACTGGCAGTTCTGTAACCAAAATCCAATTTTGCAGGGGAGTTAGCTTTGTGCCTTTTTTTTGGATACTGTTTTGCTGTTGTGAAAAGCTATACATATGGAAGCCCATTAGAGCCTAAGGCTATTGTTGATATAATCTTGACTCATTCTTGGCACTCCTTCTTCACCTTCCTTTGATAGCTTAGCTGGTAGCGTGGCTGTCTCTAGAAAGTAATTCTTAGGTTGCTGGTTCAGTTCAAGCTTAAGGAAAAGGTTTTGGGGTATTGTTTGAGTTTTTGTCTTTCACTTATTTCTGGAATTTACAACTTCGCAGAGCTGCCCTTTCCAACTGCATGTCATTATGCTCTATGAGAAGTTTGGTCTACTTAAAACATACCACTTGCAAGGATATTTTCACTATTCTCCTTGTCTACTTCAGCTGGTTGTTACAACTTTGACCATTGCTACCTCTCTACCTAATCAGTTGATGTCCATCATAGAATCATAGAATGGTTAGGGTTGGAAAGGACCTGAAGGTCATATAGTTAAAACCCCACTGCCATGGGCAGGGACACCTCCCAATAGATCATGTTGCCCAAGGCCCTGTCCAACCTGCCCTGTCCAACCTGGCCTTGAACGCTGCCAAGGATGGAGCAGTCACAACTTCTGTGGGCAGCCTCTTCCAGTACCTCACCACTCTCACAGTAAAGAATCATATGAGTATGATAAATAAAGTATCATATGAGCTTCTCTTCTGCAAGGGCTCAACACCTTCCACAGATTCTTGTTAGGCAGAGCAGACAGTGCAGAGCTTGCAGAGCCTCTTTTAGCTGTGCTGGATATGGAAAATAGGGGCAAGTCCGGTTATTGGGGCCTCTTTAATTGCTGGTTTCATGCCTTTTACTATCGCATTCTTGCATTTTGAAGTTTGGAGGTTTTGAGTGGAAAGAGGGACACAACCAAGAGAGGTGGAAGAAAAATGGTTTTGTGACAACAGGAACATCATAATCATTTAGGTCCAGCTGTTTTGTCTGAGACAGCCACTATATGCAACTATAATAATTTGCCTCGTGAGAGGGTTGTGAATACCACTGTGCACACTGCCCTGAAATGGTTCATTTCCATGCACTGTCTTTCAGTGGAGAACTCTGAAGGTAGGGGCTGGTTACGAAGGAAATGGGTAAGAAAGAGGCAATAGAGCTGTATGAAAGGACACCAGAGGCCAGAGGCATTCTAAGGATCCATTTGCACAGAAACCAACATCAGAAACTTTCAGAGAACAGAAAGTGGGCATTGTGACCTGTTAAAATTTTGTTTCACACAGGAAGCTGACTCACTTTCACAAGATACAATCTGTAAGAAGCTTTATTAAAGAAAAGATTAGAGGTTTTTAGATGTTTACATTAGCTGAGATGACATTAGGGATCCAAGTCCCAAAGCTCATGCAAAGCATCTCCTCATGCAAAGTGCAGTGCTAAGCTGAACAAAGGTAGAAGGAGGTGGCAATTTTATTCAGTTGCTTACCTTTCATTGTATTACAAATTTGCTTACTATTCAATGAGAAATATTTGTTTGAAGTTTGAGTCAAATGCATCAAGGAAGCAGTACTCAGCTAGAATGAATAATCAAGTGATTATATGTAATTCCAGTATTTTAAAATATTATATTTCTAATAATTAGCATCAGATCAATGACCATCGATCATAGTAGAACACCAGTTCTCTTTGTCCTTCCAAATCCAGCTGCATTAATTTCTCTTCAGCCTGCATAGCAGTACACACTTAGAGCCTCATAACCATAATGGGTTTTCAGCACAGGGAGACACGGGGCAGGAGAGGCAGTTCCCCCTCTCCTTTCAGCAACAAAACCTGTTCTCCAGGCCCTGCAGCATGAATGTGCCATGCATTTATTTCTCCATAGGTCCTCCCACAGTAGGATGGGGTTGTAAAACCAAGGGTGGGAGAGGCAAGAAGCCTCCTTCACTGTCCTGCAAGGACTCCTAGAAAGGAGGGTGCACAGGAGCATCACCTCTGATGGGAATCTGGCAGTCACTTTAGATGAGGAGGAGAAGGACAGAGTATGAGCCTGGGTGATGCCATGAGTGGAACTCAGCTGTACTTGTAACCAGCCTGGGTTACAAATCTGTCCCATGACACCTGGGACAGATTGCAGTGTGCCTTTTACAGTCTTGGCGAGCAGTAAGGCAAAGTAGGAACCTTTCCAAATGAGTGAATACATGACTCATGCATTTAATTGCTGCAATAAGCCTGAAGCTTTTGATTCAAAATCTGACAATAATTGTGAAAAGTAAATCCTTATTCTTTTATCAGAGAAGGGACCAATGCTTTCCCTGAGTCTGGGGAATGGTACTGACTGATAAATGGACTGACTACCTCACAAGTATTCTGTTGATGTGCAGATCTTTGCTGGCCTAGTATTTCAGTCTGGGTTGCATGAGGTACGATTGGAACAAGAATGAAGGGAGAAAGGATTAAACAAAAGTAGGTTCTCATCACAAGTGATGTTCATTCTATAGTTGAGAAGGGCAAGTTGTCACCCTCATATTACTGCACACTAGTGGGTAACTGGGTCCTGGTGGAGAATACCACCTGATGTGGCTAGCTTCTGTTACTCCGTGGCTGCTTCATGTCATGCTATTTCAGCTACCAGGACTGCCCCATACTGATATAGTGGTGACATGGACTCTGTGTCTTTCTCTGCAATGACAACTATTCAAAGTAATTTTATAAAAGTTTGTGCAGATGTAGCCATCAAGCCAGAAATGTGAATTTAAACAAAGTTCTGGTGTTTTCCTTGCACATGTAGTCGAACTTGGCGAAGATAGGAAGTATTTAAAAATGTTATTATCTTCTGTGTTCAGGAGTTTCAGCCTTCTCTTTAATCTTGAACAAGCTGCTCCTCACAGCCAGACTTCTCTGGCTCATTGGACTTTGTAATGGTTGTTGTGCCCTTGTCTGAGGAGTGGCACTCCACAGACCAAATGTCTGAGGCAAAGATGTAACCAGCAGTAGTGGGCTCCTAACAGACCAATAGTAAGCTCCTATTAAACAAGATAGCATTTGTTATGAATAGGATTTTCCTTCCCTTTCCAAAATGCTTCTTGTCTCACCTCTTATTCCAAAACAAGCTTTTAACCTATCCCCTAGCTTAGAAGCAGCATACTGTGTAAAGAAATTGAAGCTCACACAGTTGGCGTAAACATATTGCAAAATATCTGTACTTTCTCCCTAGAGGAAAGAGTAGGGCTTGCATTCTGGTAGGACAGCTTAGTGAGTCAGATCCAGTCACCTATGCCCGCAGCACTTCTTACGTGGTTATTTTGCACCTTCGCTAAGCAACAAGTGTTGCATGGTTTGTGACTGGTCCTGTCTGTGCTCATTCTGAAAGTAGCTCTTCGTCAAAAATTAAAAGTGTGATTTTGGCACCGGCATAACTCCAAGTTCTTGGTTGCACTTGCTTTGAAT